GAGAAGAAGAGTACAGCCATTCTTCGCGAGAAGAAATGTCTGCACACTCTGACCACCGCCGAGACCTCTCCCTTCTTCATACAACTCTTGTGCACATTTCAAGACGACGAGCGGCTCTGTATGTCTTCAGCGACACTATTATTGTGTTGTGTTTTGGTTGCCATTCATTTGAGACATTGAATTGATTTTTTGGTTTTGATTTTTGTTGTTGTCTTGAAATCTAGTTTTTGTGATGAATTTCGCCAAAAACGGCGAATTACTGTCGCTTATCAACAACCGGGAGGTCTTCGACGAGAACTGTTCCCGATTTTATTCGGCGGAAATCCTCTTAGCGTTAGAGCATTTGCATCGCTTAGGGATTGTCCACAGGTTTGTATCCACTGTTTGTCCCGCGATCTGTCGATGAGGTACTGACGCTACCATTGCATTGGTTGCAGAGATTTAAAGCCCGAGAATATACTGCTGAACGAGAGAATGCATATTCAAGTCACCGATTTTGGATCCGCTCTCATATTGAGCGATAGGGAGAGCGGCGGCGAACAGGTGTCGTCGGCGCCCAACCCCATGGCCTCCACGGGCGACGACCAGAACCACCGGCAGCGGAGGAACTCATTCGTGGGAACCGCTCACTACGTGTCGCCCGAGATGTTGAACAACAAGTTGTCGTCCGAGGCGTCAGACCTGTGGGCTTTCGCCTGCATTCTCTACCAAATGATATGCGGGTCGACGCCATTCAAAGCCGCCAACGAGTACCTGATTTTCCAGAAGATTATTAACTTGGAGTACGAGTTCACCGACGAGTTCAGCGATTCGGCCAAAAGTCTGATCCGAAATATACTGCAGAAGAATGCGAGCGAACGGCTGGGCGCTAACGATGACGTCCAACGCGACGGCTATATATCTATAAAATCAGATCCCTTTTTCGCCCCCTTGGCTACCATGTGGTCGCAGATCCATGAGATGACTCCTCCCGTGTCGGACGCCTTCACGAACACTACGCTCAACGAGAACCACACGAAGAGTGTGTCCGAGAATGTGGAGCCGGGTTTGGCTGAGAAACAGATCACACGAATCATGGGTTTAGCGCTTCACGAGGACTACGATAAGAGTGCCGCGAATCCGAAGCAAGGGATTCTCGACATACCGGCGCCGGAGATGATTAAAAGGCTGGAAACGCAACGAAAGAGCAACGAATACCATAAGTTCGTCGACGACCAGCTCATCCTAAAGCAGGGAATCATCGAAAAGAAAAAGGGATTATTCGCGCGAAAGCGGATGTTCCTGTTGACTACGGGTCCGCACCTGTATTACGTGGACACCGTCAATATGGTGCTCAAAGGACAGGTGCCCTTCTCGAAGGACATGCGACCGGAAGCCAAGAACTTTAGAAATTTTTTCATTCATACAGTGAGTTGTGTTGACACTAATCCCTAGCCTTCACTCACGCGTTAATCGCCTTTTAATGACAGCCCAACAGGTCTTACATACTGGAGGACACGACGGGCAACGCCCCGGAATGGTGTCGTGTGGTCGAGGAGGTGCGCGACCACACGTACGGCCCGCCATCCGATGAGAGCCCCCCGAACACCAACCCCCGTATATGTAACTCAAATGTATCCCTTCGTAAGATTAGTATAAATAATAAGAAAATCAGATAATATTAACTTATATTAGACTAGAAGTCATATATATTTAGATTAAATTCAATTATAACTTAAATCAATGAATGCATCGATTTATATATACAGATGTTTTATGTATGTATAAACAAAAGGCGATTAGTTTTATATATTCTTGTTATAAATAAGTTATATTTGGGATCACAAATAATTATTGCAAACATAACTGAATTTTTTTAGTTTATTTTTGTTTATTTGGAAAGCAATTTGGATAATAATTTTATAGATATTTACTTATCATATATACCTATCGATACATTGTTTTTTTTATAAAATCCACTCCATTGTAGCCAATTGTCAGACGACACCCCTTTCCCCCATGATTTGCGAACCATATATATATATTCCCACTCATATTCAGCCCAACCCTTCTCTGCCCTCCTCTGCCAGAGCCTCTCATTAGTGAACTGATTGACCGCTAAATTGTACGGAAATGCCGGCAAAAGAGTGTTTTTACGGAAATTCAAAACGTTTCGAGTCTTAACTTATTTTGCATTCAATATGTCTTTTATAGAGTTTTCTCTTCCTTTCAGTGAGAAATGTATTGAATTTCTAAATGCAATCGAGTTTTACAGCGAATTGTGAAACTGAGAGCACAAACTTTAATATATTTGTAGACATTTTTTGATTATAATTTATGAATACAAAACTATACAAACATGAGATTTACCGGTTGTAAGAGGAATGAGACTTTTGTTTCCATACCCTTAAACTCTCAATCGATGATTTATGCTTTAGATTAATTACCGGTAATAACAAAATAACGATAAATAGATATATATTTTGTTGTGTTTTCGAGTAAATTGTTGTCAGAAACTGGTGATGAGACGGACTGTGAGATCTCATGAAATCAATTCATATT